GTCCGAACCACCGTCATGGGCTGAGTCATTATCCGAAGGCGCTGCAAAAGGGAAGGAAAATCATCAGCTGCCATTCCAGGTAAGACAAACTATTCCTGCTGAGCAAAGTAAGTACAAACGATTCAAGTGGGTCAGGATTAGTACAAGCCACATCCACAATATTTACACTGAATTGGGACTGGTGCTCTTTGTTCCCAATTACTAATCTCAGAAACATGATTTGGAGATAGAGAGGTACGCTTCGTGCAGTGAAAAATACCTTCAGCAGTCTAATTTGTTCAATCAGTCCAAGTCACTGATTGCATGCTCAAATGGCAAGAACTGAAGACTAATTGATGCAATTAGAATGAATCCAATAACCACAAAATAGCAACAGTGCATGCTTCACCCCATGCTGAAACATCTGCATTAATAATGCACGCAATCTAAATCAATTACTCTGTCGTCAGTGGAGATGCTTTCATGTTCCCTGACAGATGCACCTGTGGCTGCAAGGACTTTCGTGGGCATAAAAATGCAAGCATTACCTCTTTATATGAGCCCTTCTGGGTGAGGAACATGTAGCCCATGTATCCTGGGATAAGAACCATGGAAGACAGGGCCATGCACCAGCCTACACCTTGCCCCCACTTTGGGAACACGTAATTGTTCAATGTAAGAGGGACCATCTGAACGGCGCTGAAGAGGAACACACCCTACAACAGAAGGAACAAACAGTCAATCTGCATTTCCACCTAGAAATGCTTCCAGTACACAAAGGCGCAGTAAAACCACCTACCGCCACAATCAAAGGGGTGAATGCGACCCAGCACAGCTTCCACCAAATGCAGGGCTTGTATCCAATCATCTCCTCAATATTGCTGTAGAATTTATTGACACCTGCATTAGGCACAAAATAAGAATTAAGGGCACTGCAAGCCAACGCATGATCAGTTCACTGAGGATTATTGCTGGGTGGAGGCCTGCTGTATGTGCGCCCCCTTCATAAATGCAAATAGAGAATCATGCAGTAGTTTGCATAATCAAGCCTGCCATGCACAACAATTAGGATTCTAGAGGTTCATATTCATTCAAATCAATTGACTGTGGAAATGAGTCTGGCAGTGAGATTAGCATGAATTATAAAGATATTTGCTAATAATTAGCATGCGTTATGCGTTATGTCTGGATGCGAAGAATAAAAAACTAATTAATTCATAACTACAACATCTATAAGCGAAACATCAGCCTTCTTTTTCACCTTTTTGATTTCAATGATTCACTTTAAACGATCATGTGGTGTGGTGAACAAATATTTCATGCATTAATTTAATTAATATGAGGTGTCATAAATGCAGCATGCAATTTCTTTTTTTAAACATTTTGTTTCAAATGAATGTTAAATGTCATGCCACAGGACACTGTAGACAATATCAACTTCTCAACAACCTACTGTCTGCTTGGAAAAAGGAAATTTACTCATTGAATTCTTAGAAAAAGTTGCATGTTTACCATAGAACCAGGATATGGAGATGCATTCAAAGAACACCAGGAACAGCAGACACATTCCACTGGCAGAATAGTAGTCGAACAGTTTGAACACATAGAGGCCACCCT